GAAACTTCCCAAATGTAGGGAGCCTCAATTGCACATTGGCTGATCTGAGTGAATCTGATCGTTTTCCAGCTCAAAATCCCAGGAAAGACATTCTGACATTTCCAGGGCTATGTAGAATTGTAGAACCATGACAATTGGAAAGAACCACTAAGATCACCATGGCCAACCCCACCCCACCATGCCCATCAACCACATCCACAATTCTTGAACACCTCCAAGGGCACTGACTGCCCCACATCCCTGGGCAGCTGTGCCAGTGCATCACCACTCTTTCTGAGAAGAAAAAGATGTGTTGGCGGCTATTGTGTTTGTTTTTGGGGGGCAAGGGTTTGTTAAATGATGTCTTATGCCCAAAACATCTCAGAGAAGATAAGTTTCCAAAGAGGTTCTATACTTCATCAGCTATTTTTCTTGACCTGCAACCATCAGGATTCTCTTCAACACGAGACTTCTGTCCAGTCCCATCTTTGCCCCATCCTGGATCCCTCCACCTGTTTGTGGAAAAAATTCCAGTCTGCCCTCTGCAAGCCAGGAGCAGCAGGTACAGTCAGCTCTGCAGGTGCCTGACGCTTCAGGGCAAGGGAAATAGCAGATGTCCACGGGAATATCTATTTTCCCAAGTCCTATCGTAGTCTCTTTTTCTCTACAAACCCAGTGAAAAATCTTAGATTGATGCCTGCAGTTAAAATGTTTAATTCATGCCAAAACACATCCAACGACCTGGATTCACTGGGTTTGCCAAAAAGTCTTCTCTCTTGTTGGGTGCCTGGCTGTTCTGCATGACATTGTGGCTGAAGGTCAGGCAGGACGGGGCTCTGAGCACTGATGGAGCTGTGGGTGTCCCTGTTCAGTGCAGGAAATTGGATCAGGTGGCCTTTGAGGGTCCCTTCCAACTCAAATCATGCTATGAGTCTATGAAACGCCTGTCTGTTAATGTGGTGCAAATGCATCTTTTCACTCAACCCTGCACACTACTACTTTCTACTACAACAAAATAAGCTCCAGGTGCATCTGTAGGACTAGAACTGGAAATATTATTTTCTTCGGAAACAGGAATCAATTCCCAATAGAGCTGAGGAGACCTTTTTAAAGATCTGGGCTCCTTTACCTAGGATAAAGTTTTGGTTCAAATTCTGGATAAAGCACACCAAATGCAATGCTGTTATATGTTATCTTTAACCAGGGCTCAAAGTGCTCAAAACAGGTTGCACAGAGTTGAATGGAGACATTCAAGCCAGGCTGGACCAGATCTTGGGCAGCCTGGTCTAGCTGTGCACGTCCCTGTTCGCTGGGATGGATGGCCTTCGAATTTCCCTTCCAACTCTAAGGATTGATTCTATGAGTTTATGATTCCAAGTTCTCCCATCATTTACTACAGGTGATAAATGATGGCTTCTTGAAACACGAGGATTTCTGAGAAAAGATAATTCTGACAAACTTGAATCACTCCTTTAATGTCAAACAGACATAAACTCTTTAAAATCTCATCAGATTTTGAAAAAGATCTGGTTGGGTGTTGTTTTTTTTTTCATTCTAAATGACATTTATTCCAAACTTTTGTATATAATGAAAAGTGAAATAAAAGTGAAACACTGCAAGTGAAATAAATATCTTCAAAGATTGGAAGAGGAGTGCTACGAGATCCGTCCCAAATTTCTGTTGTCAGTCACAATGAATATTTTTAAATATCTTTTATTTCTTCTGTTTTCGGAGAGGAAAAGAAAAACATCTACATCTCAGTATTTCTCACCCAATCTTCACTCCCAGCTCCATTTTCTGTCTCATCTTTTCTCGAAGAAGCTCAAATTGTGAGAAAGCAGCTCTCTTACAGCTACAGAAAGTGCCAGCAGGAGCAGCAATTCCAGCCTGGCTGTCCCGTCTACAGAGACCAACAATTTACATAAATACACAGAGGCACTGGAAGTGCTGCTCTAATTAAAATGCCATCATATAAACTTGGTTTTTATAAGACCTATAAAACTTCATTCTGAGAGTGGACTTGGCATCAGCATGAGCACAATCTACTGCTGTTTGTTTATTCATTTTTTATTGATTTGCCAAGAAAGTAATATACATTGTGTTCTAATTCTGTAGTACCGTCACTGTATAATTGAAGGAGGCACTTCTGGTCTAAGTCCCTATTTGCAAGCAATTATATGTTGCTTTAAAAAATATGTCTTGCAGAATTGATTTTTCATGTCTCTTGTGAGTGATGAAATATAAGTTTCAATTAAAAAAAAAAAAAGTGCAATGGCCAATTCTGAGCCTGTCTGGTTAAAATGGTTTTGCAGCTCTTTAGGAAGCCTGGCTTGGCATTGCCTGGCACAAGGGCTGTGGCACTGCCTACTGCATCACAATAGCTCTGTGCTTTGATTACAGACAATAAAATGGTACTGAATTCCACGATTCTGCCCAAGAAAATGCAGTATTTTCTGCAGCTGGTTTTTAAAACCCCGTCTTCTTGACTCCATCTACTCTACGAGTAATCCAGCCTTATTAACAAATGTCAGCATTCGGTACTGTTAGCTGGAGAGAGATTACTGCACAGTATGCACAAACTCAGCAGCTTTATATAGTAAAAAAAAGAAGTGTCTTTTAAAATTTCATGTGTTTTGGGGAACAACTTTTTGATGTTTTAATGCTGGGGTAAGCAATCTGAAAAAGATGCACATATTTCTTTTCTGCTCCTCACGTTTCTCCTGACCTGCTCCCCAGCAGTGGCCCTGCAGCCAGAGCTGCCCATCACTGCCCTCACTGCAGTCCAACACATCGCCCAGGACACATCGCACCAGTACAGGTTGGGGGATGAGCTGCTGGAGGGGAGCTCTGCGGAAAGGGACCTGGGTGTCCTGGTGGATGACAGGTTGGCCATGAGCCAGCAGTGTGCCCTTGTGGCCAAGAGGGCCAACGGCATCCTGGGGTGCATTAAAAAGAGCGTGGCCAGCAGGTCGAGGGAGGTGATCCTCCCCCTCTGCTCTGCCCTGGTAAGACCTCATCTGGAGCACTGCGTCCAGTTCTGGGCTCCCCAGTACAAAAAAGACAAGGATCTCTTGGAAAGAGTCCAGCGGAGGGCCACAAAGATGGTGAGGGGCCTGGAGCATCTCTGCTATGAGGAAAGGCTGAGTGAACTGGGTCTGTTCAGCCTTGAGAAAAGGAGACTGAGAGGGGACCTGATCCAGGTCTATAAATATCTAAGGTGTGGGGGGCAGAATGGCGAGGCCAGACTGTTTTCAGTGGTGAGTGGAGACAGGACAAGGGGAAACGGCTGGAAACTGCAGCATAGGAAGTTCTGCACAAATATGTGCAAGAACTTCTTTACAGTGAGGTGAGGAGCACTGGAACAGGCTGCCCAGGGAGGTGGGGGAGTCTCCTGCTCTGGAGATGTTCAAGACCTGCCTGGATGGCAGGGCTCGTTTCCAGCTGCAGACTGAGGCGCTTCCAGCCTCCCATCGCCAAACACTTTGGGAACACTGTGTATGTAGTCGTACGCTCAGACCGCCAGACTCCACATCAGAATCTGTGCAGTACATACAGTTTGTACCCATGGCAAAATACCTTTATAAAATTCATGTGCATTATTGGCCCCAGCACCCTATACCCAAGTGCAGACTCCTGTGCTGAGGAATGATTACAAGCAGATCACAGAATCATAGAATCACAGAATGAGTGGCCTGGGTTGAAAAGGACCACAACGATCATCACTTCCAACCCCCTGCTGTGTGCAGGTCGCCAACCAGCAGCCCAGGCTGCCCAGAGCCACATCCAGCCTGGCCTTGAATGCCTCCAAACCTGGGCTGTCCACCAACAACACCTTGGACGGCAACAGTGTGGGACTCCATCAGATTATGTTATCTTATGTTACTTTATGTCATTTTATGTTCATTCACATTAAATTATTTAATGTCTCACTTTAAAACCATTCCCCTTACCATACCACCACCCACTCTCACAAACAGCCGTTCCCCCTCCTGTTTCTACTCTCCCTTCAAGCACTGGAAGGCCACAGTGAGGTCTCCCTGCAGCCTTCTCTTCCCCAAGCTCAACAGGCCCAGTTCCCTCAACCTTTCCTCACACAGAGCTGCTCCAGCCCTCTGCTCATCTCAGTGCCCCGTCCACCAACGCCGTCCCTCCACCATCAAAGGCCGCCACATCGCTCAGCCACCATCTGCCCTTGGCGCAGCCACGCTGGCGGTCTCCAATCACTCCTTGCTGCTGGATGTGCCTTAACACAGCTTCCAGGAGGATCTGCTCCATCATCTGCCCAGGCACAGAGCTCAGGCTCACCGCCCTCACCCTTTCTTAACCATGGCAGCAACGTTTCCCTTTCTCCAGTCACCGGGGACTTCACCGCACAGCCGCTACTGCTCAAATGCGATGGAGAGCGGCTCGGCAGCCACATCAGCCATCTCTCTCAGAGCCCCAGGATGGATATCATCCCGCCCCACGGATTTACATGCATTCAGTTACACCAGGAGGACTCGGCCTTGTTCCACCCTTGCACTGGGACGGAATCCCACGCCACGGCTAACTCAAATCTCCCCTCCTTTACGTTAGAACCATTCCCCCTTTGTCCAATCACCATCACCACACAAAAACTTCGTTTCCCTCCTCTTTATAATCTCCTTTGAAACAACGGCAGGCTGCACTGTGGTGCTGAGTGGCCACAGCAAGCGGTGGTGACGGGGCAGGCACAGAGCAATGCCTGTGTCACCACGGGACCGTGTCACAGAGGCGCACTGTGAGCTCAGCGGAGAGGGGCTGACCCCAGCGGTCACGGAACCCCCCACTGCCACTCTCGAGCTACCTTGGCAGGTAAGGCAGCAGGCTCCCTCTGCTCCTGGCACGGCGGCCCTCCAGGGGATGCCAGTGCCCCAGATCTCACCCAGCGCCCATCTGGGCATTTCTCCATAGAGAGAATTTCTCCACGGATGCCGACGGTGCTTCCGACACCTGACGCGATTATCCCTGGATCCATTGTGCGTCCACTGGCCACTGCTGCAATGCAGACCAACAGCAGCGGAGCAGTGCCAGTGTCCACCCAAACCCTCTCTGTCCCCAGTGTCACCTACGTGGTGCCTCAGGCTTCTGTCTGGCCTGGGGCACCAGGTGTCCAGGCACAGGGAGTGCAGCTCCCACCCGGGGGGATGCCCCAAGTGGTTCAGCTGCCACCTGGGGGGATCTCCCAAGTGGTTCAGCTGCCATCTGGGGTGACAACCCAAGTGGTGGGTCAGCTCCCACCTGGGGGGGTCCCCCAGGTTGTGGGTCAGCTCCCACCTGGGGGGGTTCCCCAGGTTGTGGGTCAGCTCCCACCTGGGGTGCTGCCCCAGGTTGTGGGTCAGCTCCCACCTGGGGGGATGCCCACAACAGTGGTTCAGCTGCCACCTGGGGCGGTCCCTCAAGTTGTGGGTCAGCTGCCTGCTGGGGTGACAACCCAAGTGGTGGGTCAGCTCCCACCTGGGGTGACAACCCAAGTGGTGGGTCAGCTCCCATCTGGGGTGCTCCCCCAAGTTGTAGGTCAGCTCCCATCTGGGGTGCTCCCCCAAGTTGTGGGTCAGCTGCCCCCTGGGGGGATGCCCACAACAGTGGTGCAGCTCCCACCTGGGGCGGTCCCTCAAGTTGTGGGTCAGCTGCCCGCTGGGGTGATGCCCCAAGTCGTGGGTCAGCTCCCACCTGCGGGGAATCCCCCAACTGTGGGTAAGCAACCACGTGGGAGGAAGGCCCCAGCTGTGGGCAAGCGGCCACGTGGGGGGAAGCCCCCAACCGTGGGTCAGCTCCCACCTCAGGGGGTGCCTCCCATTGTGGTTCAGCTCACTCCCGAGGGGCTGCTCACTGTTTTGGAACATCTCCCACCTGGGTGGCAGCAGTTACCCCTGCTCTTGCTCCTACCCGGGGGCATGAAGCCAGGTATGCCTCCCCCCAATGCCCCTGCCCACTACTGGGATCATCCCCCGGTGGCAGGGACGATGCAGCCCCAGCAGTGTGGGCAGCCCCCGCAGCCCGCAGGCAGCTGCCCGCTGCAGGCTGCCAGCCAGCCCGGCCCCTCCACTGTCCTCCAAGGACCTCCGGTGCAGCAGCGGGTGCGCCTCGTGCCCGGCACCCTGCCCACCATCTTAGAGCAGCCCGAGGAGCTGGAGGACCAGGGGCAGCCAGCACCCATCGGCGTGTGCCCCCATCCCAACGCGGCTCCGCTCAGCTGCAGCATCGCAGCGCTGGAATCAGGTGGTGAGTCTGGGGGCTGCAGGGCGGGCGGCAGGCTGGCCGCACCGGGTGGCTGTGGGAAAGATGGCATTGCCTCACGGCGCATTTTCTTGCTTTCCAGCAGCGACAACCAGCGCAGACATCCCGGAGGACATCACCGACATCGGTGACCTCCTGGCTTGGATGAACAGCGGTGAGTTTGGGGGCAGCAGAGCTGGCGGGGGAGCGTTTGCACCCATTTGCTGTGGGAAAGCTGGCCTTAACCCTGTGGCGATTTTCTTCCTCTTCCAGAACTGGCACCCAAAGAGGTCCCGGACGACATCCCGGGCACGGATGAGGACGCGGCCGAGTGCCCAGCCCCTGCCTGCACCCCCAGCGGGCACCAGCAGAGCGCTGGCAGCATCCGAGCCACCAAGAGGAAGCTGCCGCAGAGCCAGGATGCTCCAGAACAAAAGCGCTCGCGCTAGGCGAAGCTGGGTGGGCTCAGCCAACACGGGAGCATCGGCAGAAACCGGCCCACGTGGTGCAGCAGGAGACACGGCCACAGCAGGAGACACAGCCAACAAATCAGGCTACCTGTAGCCCCGGGCTCCTCGCCGGCCCTCGCACAGAGCAGCGGCAGTGCTCCAGGGGCACCGGCACCGGCCCCAGCCCAACCCCTCCAAACCTGGGCTGTCCACCAACAACACCTTGGACGGCGACAGTGTGGGATTCCATCAGATTATGTTATGTCATTTTATGTTATTTTATGTTCAATTACATTAAATTATTTAAATTATTAAATGTGTCATATCCTCTTTGCTACAACGACCTGCAGTTGTTTATGCAGCACCAACCCCCACCCCAGAGCTCAGCCCAGAGCCACATCCAGCCTGGCCTTGAATGCCGCCAGGGATGGGGCATCCACAGCCTCCTTGGGCAACCTGTGCCAGTGCCTCACCACCCTCTGGCTGAAAACTTCCTCCTCATATCCAGCCTAAACCTCCTCTGTCTCACTTTAAAACCATTCCCCTTGTCCCATCCCCATCCACCCTCACAAACAGCCGTTCTCCCTCCTGTTCATACGCTCCCTTCAAGCACTGGAAGGCCACAGTGAGGTCTCCCCGCAGCCTTCTCTTCCCCAAGCTCAGCAGGCCCAGTTCCCTCAGCCTTGCCTCACACGGAGCTGCTCCAGCCCTCTGCTCGTCTCAGTGCCTCCTCTGGACCCGCTGCCAGAGCTCCACGTCCCTCCTGTGCTGGGGGCCCCAGGCCTGGACGCAGCGCTGCAGATGGGGCCTCACAGGAGCCCAGCAGAGGGGGACGATCAGCTCCCTCTCCTGCTGGCCGCCCCTTTTTCATGCAGCCCACAACACAGCTGCCTTCCGGGCTGCAGGCGCTCACTGCTGCCTCATGGCCAGCTTCTCGCCCACCAGGACCCCAAGTCCTTCTGCGCAGGGCTGCTCTCAAGCACATCTTCCCCCGGTCTCTATCAATACCTGGCATTGCCCCCACCCAAGGGCAGCACCCTGCGCTTGCCCTTACCGAGCCCCTGACACTGGCTTCAGCACCCTGACACAGAGCCATGGATCACAGCCCTTGGCTGCCACCAAGACAACTCCCAGTCCATCCAACAGCCCAGCCTTCAAATCCACTCCTCTCCACGTTAGAGAGCAGGATGTGGTGAGGGACCACCTGCCCGATCAGTGACTGCTATGGACATCCCTGAAGAAGGTTGTTCCTACTGCTCCTATTCTATCTCCAGGGGTACCAGCATTGTGCAACAGAATAAACAACAGGGAGCCACCTCCGTGGCATTTGGTGCAACTACTCCACTCCTGTCTGTGTAATCTGGTTCTTAAAGACAGCACAGCACACAGTCTATAAACCCAGAGTCAGTGTGACTGATGTGTGGCATTCCTGGGAGGAACATTATTTGTAAAGGCTTCTCACTGCTGTGCTGCTGTATTTTCTCAACACGAATATCTGCTCCGCTGTGCCTCAGCTCCACGACGTGCCTCGTCCTCAACCAAGCACATAAAGCCTTGGCTTTTTTTCATCGCTGCACACACTGCCTCTGGAAGTCTGAGTACTCATTTCCCAATCTAAAAACCTCTCCTAAGGCACTGTGCTTTGAACAGGCTACATGAAAAAAACTTGAATGAAGCCATTGTTAATTCCATTAAGGGAACAGCCAGGCACTTCTGTCCTGCTCAACAGGAGGGGTTTGCTTCCAGGTGAAGGAGCCAAATGCATCACAGACAATTTTAAAATGATATGGTCTAGGTCCATTTCTGCATCTCTACAGCCTCTGCCAGGATTCTGCCTGTTGGGTCAGTGGCGCAAAAGGGGGCGAAAAGGAAGGGTTGTTTTCTGTAATGTGGATTAGCACTATGTGTTCAAGGAATGCCAAGTGACTTGTTCTGCCAAAACATGGAATGCCTGAGGTCCCACCAGGGTTCTGACCAAACCTTACAAAACACTTTATAAAACTGATCTTGAGGAGAACTGCTGCTCCAGCAGCCCTTGAAGAAGGGTTGTTGTTGCCCCTTATTCAGAGTAGAGCTGAGAAGTGCCCACCAGTGGGAACCCAGCTGGGACTGCTGACATCGCTGTGCAGGGTCTGTCTGCTTCATGGAATCATACAACTACAGGATGGCTTAGGTTGGAGGGGACCTTAAAGATCACCCAGTTCCAATCCCCTGCCACGGGCAGGGATGCCACCCACCAGATCAGGCTGCCCAGGGTCCCATCCAACCTGGCCTTGAGTGCCTCCATGGTGGGGGCACCCAATTTCTGGCAGCCCTTTCCCCTGCCCTGGCAGCATTTTCCCCTGGTGCTTCGTCAGTGCTTCAGTAAGAAAAGCCAGGAAGAAGGCTTCCTGTGAACCCTCTCTGACTACAGCTGCCTATGAAAGGCACTCTTCCACCATATGCTCCCATTGGGTTCTCAGCCAGTGCCCACCTGGAGAGGTCAAGTCACACATCTCATCCCTCAGAGGCAGCTCTCTCCAAACAGTTTTCTAGTTCTTTGTATTTTTAGCATTATCTCAGCAACTTTGCCCATTGCTAGGGCCTCCATCGCAGCAGCTCACTTTGAGCCAAAGGATTTATTTCAGTTCCTCTGCACAGTTACAGTTCTTCTCTTCTTCCCTCTACAGTGCCCTTTACCACTGCAGCTTTTCTGCCTTGTCCCAGGGCTCTCAGAACCACAGATGCCTCCAACTGCCAGGGGACTGCAAATTAGAATCTGTCCTGTCTCATATGTCAGCGATAACCATCAGGGGAGTCCTCATTCCCATTGTAGGAAAGGCCATATGTTTGGCTCCCAAGCCAAAGCAGCAGCAAAATGCAGGCAGCAAAAATATTCTTTGACTAAATGTGTTGAATTCCTTAATCTCATGAGTAGGTGTCCCTGGAAGATCCTTTGTGCTTGGGTTCTGTGCACTCAGGATTGCTCATATAATAAAAAATCTGCAGATCGAAAAGAGCACAGACTGAGTGTTAGAGGAATCGCAGATCCCTCGGCACAGCTTTGCACCCACCCCTGCTTTCAGCCCAGCACTGCACCTGCAGGACTGCCTTGCTTGGGATGCACACAGTGCCACGCACCTCATTTGTTTGCCTTTCTCAATCTTCCTTCCTTCATCGTTCCCCTGCTCCCCATCACCAATCCACGTCTGGGAGCCTTTGCCACTCCCAGAAGCTCTCCTTGACGCACATCACCACGACTTGACTCGAACAGCACAAATCGAAGGGATGATGGGTGTGTGATTTAAAGGCACAGCGCTGCCAAACTGCACTGATACAGCTGCTGAGCAGCTTTCTCAATTTGTAGCCACAGCTACAGGCAACATGGTGGCCGAATGATTTGTAATTACAGTTGAGTAAACCGATCCCAGGGAAGCAAAGGTGGTTAAAACTAGCAAAGGTCATGACACAAAGAAGAATGGCTGAAAGGGAAACAGATCCTACAGCTGTTTTCCCTACAGGGAAAATTTGTATACTAGGATTTGGATTTAATTTCTGCTCTATACAACTTTTTTTACTTATGCTAAATCGAATTAGCAGGATAGCATGCATAATATGATACAGCATGCAAAATCAGTGTGGCTCACAGTGACTGTGTATAAGGCAGCATGTTTTGTTCCCTGACTCTAATGAAGCATTCGTCTTGGCATGGCAGTGACTTGTAAATGAATTAGCAATGCTACAATCGTTTGTGAGCACGCCTATCAAACTCAGCAAATTGCCTGGCGATCAGAGCAGTAAATAGATGGGCTGTTCCACATTGTGGTACGAAGACTTGGAGACTCTGGGATGCGATCATGGCACGGTGGTCCCTGTATTAGGGCACAACCCAGCCCAGTCCTTCCTGAGAAGGATGAGCTTAGCAGGCAACATTCCCAGCTTGTGAGCCGCTCAGTGCTAATGGCATGCACTGCTTCATCAGCAGGAGCAGGATTAGGCCCTTCTGTGTGGAAACAGCTTCAGCAGTCATCCAAGGGCATGAAAGAAGCTGAGGCTGAGACCACGTGCTCCGTCATCATAGAACCACAGTCATTAAGGTTGGAAAGGTCCTCTACGGTCACCTGATGCAGTTGTCCATCTACCACCACTACTGCCCACTGACCATGTCCCTAGGTACTACAAACACTCTTTCCAGGGGCTATGACTCCACCACCTCCCTACCCATATATACTTACATATATTTATCTTTTTTCTCGTTTCAGACAACAGAAGCAGTTTCCCTTGACATCTTCAGAATGCAGCGCTTTACATTTTCCAGTTTGCTTAATTTGGTTTTGTCAAAGAAAGTGAAAGGAAAAACAGCCTCCAAATCTACTGCAATTCAATTAGGAGTGATTTGACATCACATCCCAAATTGTCCAGTGAACTGAAATGGCAGAGCTGTGTTTCCTGCCTCCATGTGCTGGTAGGACCGTGGCTAAATGCAGGCAGAGCATCGTGCCTTACAACTGCTGCTGGCCATCCCAGCCTTTGCAGGGACCTACAGCTGTTCCATAGCTTGGAGGCAGTTCGTGAGTTTCTATCCTTCCATACAAAATGCAATGGAAAAAGTTTCAGCTCATGACCGTCTGATTGTGAAATACTCCAAGTTCCTTGTGGAATGGCCTACGACTACATAAGCTCATTTCTCTGTGATTTAACCCCAAACTGGCTTTCCCATGGTCATGCACAAAGCCTTCTGATGCTTTCACGGCTCATTTTTCACTAACCATGAGCTCTAAAAATTAAATTTGTCGTTCTTTTTTAAGTGAAAGACAAGATCAGAGATAAAAGCTGTAATCACTGCCTTCTAAGAACCGAGCCTAAAAGCACACCAGATGTAGCCCAGCTCTCCATCAGATCCCCAGACGACACACACAGCAGTACAGAGATAGCAGCCAAGGAGGAGCTGGAGGATTCCCTGCGCTTTTCTTGCCTGCAGACTCCAGCAGCATTTTCCCCTCCCTATGGGATGTGTGCTG